CGCGCGCGCGCACACACACACACACACACACACACACACAGAAATAGAGAACAGAAGAAAAAACAAAAGATAGATGTGAGAAATAAGAATGGTGATTTTTTTTCAAATCAGAGCCTAGCTTGAGTTCTCAAAATGCTGTCTAAATGCTTCTCTTTGGTTGATTCACATCCTGCTACTTTGTGCTTCCTTTTCGTGGGCTTTTTACTTTGGCGGGTTTCTTGTTTAAACTTTTGGTGGGATCCAATCAGAATGATTCTGTAGACCAATCAGCAAATAGGACATGCAAATGAAATGATTCTGTAAACCAATCAAAATGTGTCATGTAGGCATCATATGGGAAAGTCTGTAACTTCTGCAGTACTCCTCCAATGAGGAACCAGGGGAGGGGCCTGTGTTTTAGGGATAAAAATGCTGGTTCTTCCTGCTTCCATGTGCCTGCCCACCAGACACCCGATCTGGGAAGACCATCATGAAAGTCTCACTTCTGCTGCACTCCATGTCTCTGTGTCCATTCTTTGATTTTGGACAGGTAGTTTGTTTCTCACAACTGAGAAGAAGGAATTGAGGAGTGGAGGGAAGGGAAGAAACCAAAGGACACAGAGGAAAACAGAGAGAAGGAGTAAGTGAGGGAGGGAAATAGAGAAATTAAAAAAGAAATGAGAAAAAGAGAAAAAGAGAGAGAAGCACAGAGAGATACCCACAAAGATGGAAGGGCAGAAAAGTGAGATAAATAGGAAGGAAGAGAGGCAGGGGGAGAGAGAGAATGAAACAGAGGGAGGGACCAGGAGCAGTGGCTCACACTTGTAATCCTAGCACTTTGGGAGGCTGAGGCAGGAGGATGACTTGAGCCCAGGAATTCGAGACCAACTTAGGCAATATAGTAGATCTTGTCTCTACAAAAAAGTTTTAAAAATTAGCCAGGTAGTCCCAGCTACTCAGAAGGCTGAGGCAGGAGAATCACTTGAGCTCAAGAGTTTGAGGCTGCAGTGAGTTGTGATTGTGCCACTGCACTCCAGCCTAGGTGACAGAGTAATTTCTGACTTAAAAAAAAAAAAAAGAAACGAAAATTAAAAAGAAATGGAGGAGCAGTGAAAAACTTATGAAAGACAGAAGAGAGAGAGAAAGAGAGAGAGAAAAATGGAGAGAGAGTGAGATAGAGATTTAAAGAGGAGAACAGAAACATAGAGAGAAGGGAGGGTGGAGGAGACAGAAAGAAATCCTGAGAATCAGAGCCAGAGAAAGAGATCAAGAACAGAGAAGGATGGGTAAGAAACCAAAAGGAGAAAGAGTGATGGGGCCTGACGGTGAGAGACAGGGAGAGACAATCAGATAGGAAGAAGGGAATGCCTTTTCCCATGGACCCCTACCCTTGCTCCTCATTGGCACTCACTATGTACCTCTTCTTATTGGCACTCACCATGCACTCTGCCCCACCTAGTCAGGTGAGGACCCAGAGGAAAGCCTCAGGCCCCCTTCTATGCAGCCTGTCCTGTCCTGCTGGTTTGGGTCCCTTCCATTCTGCCCTCGGCTCCGAGGCTTCTGAGGGACACCCCAGTGGGAAGTGGGGTACAGAGCCTGTCCCACAGCTGCCTGACGTGGCTCCCGGGTGGAGTCTGAATGGAAAACCCAGTGACACCCTTCCTCAAGGCCTGAGCAAGCCCGGGCCTGTCGCCCTTTGGGTCTCAGACAGGAAGAGACCTCAAAGGTCAACTCTCAAAATACAGAAGAGGAAACTGAGGCCCAGAATGGGTTGAAGACAAATTTGAAGTTACACAGCCAGGCAGTGACCTAGTAATTATTCCCACAGTCCCCACCTAGGCTGAACTGTCAGACATCAGAGGCCGTGGCCCAAAAACTTTGGAGCTTGCTTTCTCATGAGTAAACTGCTTCCTGCCCAGGGGTAACCTGAGGCTTTAGTGACAGTGTTTTAGATGCCAGGCACTGTGATGAGAGTCTTACCCAATATCCTATGAAGTGACTACTATGATTACGCCCATGGTGCAGATAAAGAAACTAAGGCTCAGAGAAGTGAAGACTTCTAAGCCTGGAGTCACACAATGCTGAGACCCACGCTGTGTCTGTCTGACCTTGAAAGGTTCCTGCTATGATACCTCCAGGCTTCCCCGTAACAGGCAGAAAAGGGATCTGTAAGATGGAGAAAGGGGCAGAGGTGGGTGGCAGTTCCTATGACACAAGAAAGTAGCAGAATGATGGTGTTTCAAACATCATAATTCTTCCCAGTGGGACTCACCTTTGTTCACTTGTGTCCTTGCCCTTGGGAACCCCAGGTGTCCCTGCCTTCCCACCATTCCACTCCCTGCCACCACCCACTCTACTCCAAACCCTTCTGGAGAGAAGGGGTTTGGCTCCTGAACTCCACCCCCCCCTTTCCTGTCCCTTCATTGTCCCCAGCTATGACACTTTGGTCCACAGGCCCAGGTTGGTTCTGAAGCCACAGAGATGGGCCTGCCCACCCTGCAGGCTCCTTCCCCCTGCGACGCACAGTGAGCTCTTCCTCCTTGGCTCTGCCTCCTGGGGCTCATCCTCCTGAAAGATACTCAACTGGAGGCTGGTGTGGGGGGTGTTGAGGAAGCAGCAGGCTGATGGGCAGATGGATGCAGACAAGTCGCTGTCTCGGCCATCACTGGCTTCCAGTCAAGCCCCCAAGAACTACACTCCCAGCCTCTCACCCCTCCCCGGATAAGGCCTGTCACTTGAGGTTTGCCCACCCTCACCGAGCCTCAGTTTCTTCATCTGCACTATGGGTATAAGGCCCCAGTCTCACCAAATGGTTGGAGACAGGGCACTGGGACACAGGACAAGTGCTGGTTATAGCCCCTCCCTGGTGGAGAGACTGCTGTCTCTTGGGGGACACATAAATGATGCCAGCTGTGTCTCCCAGGGGGCCACAGACCCAGCTCCTTCCAAGCCACTTTGCTACTCTGAGAACCATATTTCCTTTGAATACAGGGCATTAGCTCTGCCCCAAGCTGCTCTTAAGACCTGCTCCCACAGTGTCTCCCCCACTCATTAGACCAGGAAGGCTGCTACTGGGCCAGACCTGTGCTTGGAATCCCAGGAAGTGGAGAGCCCCGAGGCCCAGTCCCCTCTTGAGTATGCCAAGAGCCTTTCTAAGAGCCAGGACTAGAAGGGAGCACTCTAGGTGGCCTGCATTGGGCACGCCCTTTCTCAGAAGCCTTGGGAGCTCCCGAGGTGGTAGCCTGCTCTCACCTCCTTCACCAAGCCTGGAAAGACCCATGGCCCCATGCCAGCTTGATGGAGGTGGGTGTGGCAGCCACCACTGGGGTAAGGGTGAGGAGGATGGGTTCTGGGGCCTCCTCCAAGCCCCTGAACCCTCTCCTTCTCCCAAAGAGAGGCAAAACCCCTGCCTGGCTCCCACCCCCATAGCCTAAGGCTTTGGCTCCCACAGTCCCCATCCAGGCGGGGCTGGCAGCAGGTGACTGGACGGCGCTGAAGAGGGCAGGGTTTATGGGGGCGTGGGCCCCGGCGAGTGCACTCCTCAGCCAATCAGCGGCCTGCCCGGCCGGTGGATTCGGTTACAAGCCCAAGATCACCCCATACTCAAGCCTCCTTCCTCCTCCTCCGGCAGCTCCATTCATTGGCCCCGCTGCACTGGGCCTGCTGGACTCCGCTTCCGTTCCACCGCTCAGCTGCCGCCTCGTGGGACCGTCAGAGGCAGGCATCCCAAGGGCTTTGTTTGACTGGATTGGACCAGGTCAGAATGAGGGGTCTGGCAGTGCTGTTGGGAGTGCTAGGCTTCCTGGGAGTGGCTCTGGGGAGCTCCCCTACCCTTCTCTGGGACAGCACCTCCTGCCACTTGGTCAGACCTATCCCTGGCAGCCCCCTGGGCTCCCTGAGCTTTCTGGGCAAGGATGCCCAGGGACTGGCTCTGTTCCACGCCCGCTGGGATGCGCACAGGAGGCTGCAGGCATGTAGCCAGCAGGATGAGCCGGAGCTCACTGCAGATTTTAGTGCCCTCTGTAGTCATGAGACCACCCAGGATGCCTTCATCCACACCCCTGGACCTGAGCTGCAGAAAGCACTGGCCACCCTTCAAAGTCAGTGGGAGGCCTGCCGAGGGCTTGAGGAGGGTCCAGCTGGGGCCAGGGAGAAGCGAGCAGCAGGGCAGAATGGAGCACCTGGCAGAGGGCATCCCCGAGTGAAGAGAGGCTGGACGATGCCTGGCACACTGTGGTGTGGAGTTGGGAACTCCGCTGGGAATTCTTCAGAGTTAGGTGAGTCATGGGGGTATGAGTTGGACGTCTGATTGGGGAAGCAGAGGCTTCAACTCTGGCCCTTACTCTCCTATGCTGTGTGTCCTTGAGGGAGTAACAACCACTCTGAACCTCAATTTCCTTATCTGTCTGTAAGATGGGGGGAACCACGAGTCCTATTATGGGATGCTTAAATGAGGTCATGGCTGGGGAAGGTCTTACTCAAACCTAGGAGTCCGCATTAAGTACCACTGAGGGACGGGACAGGCCGAGGTGGATCCAAGGTGGTTAGTTAAGCCAAAAAGCCACTACCCAAGAGGAGGTTTTATGGGCACAGGGTGCTCGGCAGAGACCAAAGTCTCCAAGACCAAAGGCCTGGGTTCAAATCCTAAGTCAGTACATCCAAGCTGAGCAAGTCACTTTCCCTCTCTGAACCTCAGCGTCCTCACCTGTAAGGAAGGTGATACCTCCCTTGTAGGGCTGCTGTGAGCTTGGGGGTGAGGAGGGCTGGACGTGTGGGAAATGCTTGGTAAACAGCACTGTTGCTTAGGGGATGATATAAACGTGGATGACTTTTTTGCACTCTCTGTACTACTGTCTGTGCGTAAGTGTGGAGGGCTGGGGGAGGACTTGGTACCTGAGTCAGAGCAGGTTGGCATACTGGTGATGCCTCATTGTGCCAGTGAGAAAGGTTGCACCCTGCCTGTTTGCCATTCCATTGCACACACATTCATAACTTTGTGGTTTTATTTAGGGTGTGGGCTTGGGAACTCTGGAGGCAGACTCCAATGTCCCTGAGGAAGAGCTCACCATTGCTCATGGGTGGGCTGCCTGGCACTTCGAGTTGTCCAACAGGGGCTGCAGCCTGGGTGCTGTGCTCTTTTCAAGCTTCGAAACTGTGAGAGTCCCACAGAGGGACAGCGACTGGCTTAAGGACATTTGTGTCAGGGCTGGGATGAGAACCAGGGTCTCTGTCCTCTTGATACCAGGTGGGCACAGCTAGTACGTGGTTGCCCAGGACCCTGCTGAACTGGTGCCCCGTCCCTTCCCCACAGGGGTCTTCCAAGGTCCTGATTTCTGCTGCCGGGAACACGACCGCTGTCCACAGAACATCTCACCCTTACAGTACAACTATGGCATCCGAAACTACCGATTCCACACCATTTCCCACTGTGACTGTGATGCCAGGTTGGTGGCGGGCAGGGAGGGCCAGGGACTTAGGGACAGGGTGGAGTTAGTTACTCAGTTGCCAGGTGTAGACATTGGGATTCCAGAGAATCCTAAAAATCAGCCTGCTTGGACCCTACAGTGCAGGTGGGAAAGCTGAGGCCCGAAAGGAGAAGGGACCTTTGGACCCCAAAGCACCTGGCTGGTTGTGGCAGGGTGGGCTGGGGGAGGAGCCAGTGGCCCTCTGTGCTCCAGGGACCTGAGTGCTTGCTCTGGAGCAGGTTCCAGCAATGCTTGAAGAACCAGCGCGACTCCATCTCAGACATCATGGGTGTGGCCTTCTTCAACGTGCTGCAGATCCCCTGCTTTGTGCTGGAGGAGCAGGAGGCGTGCGTGGCGTGGTACTGGTGGGGCGGGTATGTGGCTACCCCTCTCGAATCCCCTCCCAGCTAGAGAGGGAGCCCAGGCCCCAAGCCTGAGGAGAGAATTCTGTTTGTTTGACCTCCTGAGAATGATGGCTCATCCTGCTTGTCCTTTCCTCAGGGCAGGGCCTAGGATGCAGACCCTCCTTAGATGTCCCCACAATCCAGTGTGATAGGCAGAGCATGGGTCTCCATGGAGACAACCCTGGGGGCTTCTAGGAGGGGAGATTCAGAGTTACCAATTGTCACCAACTGCCATCCTCCAGGTGTAGGACATATGGCTCTGTGCCCCTCGCTCGCCTCCAGCCCAGGACCCTCTACAATGCCTCTTGGAGCTCCCTGGCCACCTCCCTAGCTCCCAGCCCCCAGAGCCCTACTAAGTCTCAATGGAAGCAGCACCCTCAGAAGTGGCCTTCACAGCGGAAAGGGTCCAAGCACTCCAGCAAAGCCAACATCACAGCCCTCCAGGCTCCTCTGGTCTCCCACAGCCCTGATGTGGCCCCCACAGCCCAGCTGGAGGTCCCCCATCCAGACCTCCAGGACTCACAGGGTGGCTTAAAACCTCAAGGTGAGCTCAGAACCTAACCTTGGGGCTCCTGCTGTGAGGGAGTGTCCCTCCCTCTGTGTGTGTATGTTTGGAAGGGGCTCGTCGTGCCTCCTTTCCAACCTTGCCCATCAAGTTACACTGCAGGAAGGGGTTTTCATAATCTATGCATCTGACCACATCACTCCCCACTGATACCCTCCTATGACTCCTCTTTACCTTAGCCAATGATGTCCCAACACCCATGGCCCTCAAGCCTTTGGCCTCGCATACCCTACCAGTCCAAACTCTAGTTTCACAGACTTCACTAGGTTCCTCCAAAGCGGTCTGTTCTCTCCTACCTTTTGCACATGTTGTTCCTTCTGCCTGGAGTACTCTCTTCTCTCCTTTTCTCCCAACCTCCTCTGCCTCCAAGAAGCCTTTCTTGATTACTCTCAGTGCTCTGAACTCCCCCCACAGTGGCACAGCTCTGTGCATGTGGAGGCTACTCCCACGGAGTGGCACCCTGAGATCATAAAGGGCAAGAAATGGAGAATGTGTGACTGAGCACATGGCCCAGTGTTCCTCCTGGATTGTGGCAGGCATTGGTGGGTCCTCCCTGGTGGACTGGTCTCTCACATCCACCCCCACCCCCAGGTGCCCGCCGGGCCTGCCGCAGCTTCCGCCACCTGGGCCAGTGTGAGCACCAGATTGGGCCCCAGGAAACCAGGTTCCATCTGCTCAACAGCGCCCATGAGCCCCTCTTCCACTGCAACTGCACACGCCGGTGAGACCTCCTTGGATCCTTGGGGCTGGGCTGCCTGCTGCCGGGCACTGGGAAGGGGTACTTGGCTGGGAGGAACCCCTAGCGTGAGTCTGCCTCTGCCCTCAGTCTGGCTCGCTTCCTGAGGCTCCACAGCCTACCTGCGGGCGCCAACATGCTTTGGGAGAAGCTGGGCAGGACCTGCTTCAAGTTTACCTCTCTACCGGACTGTGCTGAAGGCAAAAAGTAAGTGATGTCAGACTCAGGAGGAATGGCAGACTTTGCCCAGGGGGTAGGTTGCCTATACCCACCTTGGGTACCTGGGCCAGAAGGTAGTGGGAGGGGTTGGGGGTCTTGAAGCTCCAGTGTCATCATCCCTCTGCCCCCTGCTGCCCCAGGCGCAGCTCTGCAGTTGGCCTACGTGGGTTGCATTTTGACTCTGTCATGTGGTTCCTCTGTGACCCTGACAAGCTGATTCTCTTTTATAAACTTCCATTTCTTTATCTGTAAAATGGTTGTAGGAGCCGAGGACATGGCGTGACACACATAGGTCATACCCTACCTGGCACACAGTACAAAGCTTGCTTAATTCTTACTCCTTATCTACAGTCTCATTCGGATTCTGATTCTCAAAGCCAGCCCCTTGTTAACGTTCCCATTTCACAGGTGAGGAAACTGAGGCCCAGACTGGTTCAGATTTCTACTGCCAGCTAGTGACAGAACCCAGGCCTCTGAGTACCAGCCCAGATATGTTCTGCTCTTTTCTGGTTACTCTGGTCCTAGCCCTGTTCCTCTCTGGGCCTCAGTCTTGTCTGCAGAGTAGGGTGGGATCCTTGCCAGCCCTGACCATCTGCCCCACTCGTCTTTCCTCACAGCTGTTCCAGAGACCCAAGGGCCATCGAGGTGTCAGCTCGGCACTTGCGGAGACTTCAGCAGAGGCGACCCCAGCTCCAGGATAAAGGCACAGATAAGGGGCCGGCATGGCTTCTGGAGCATCCAAGGGCCCCCATGTCATTCTATGACCAGTGTCTGCAGCTAACTCAGGCAGCCCAGAGACCCGATGGGCAGCAGAAATTCTGGAGCCAGTGACTTCAGTTCCAGCTTTCCAGTGCACCAGTCTGGACCTTGCCCGTGGCTTTGCCAGGACCTGGGATTCTCAGCCTCCTCTTAATGGGTTAGACTAAAACATGGCAGAGGTTCTTGTGGACATTTAGGTGGCTAGATGGTGAGGACCCCATCTATGGGGAGAATGCTCACTCTGATGCCCTGGGCTACGACCTTGCCAGGAAACTTCACATACAGATGGAAATAGGGAAAGGGTAACTTATTGCAGTAGTCCCAGGAGGTACCAGGAGGAGGTACATGTATGTCCATGTTGCAAAATTAATACATGTTTCAAGAACCTGCCTGGGGCAGCCTGGGGGTAATCAGAGACATCACAGATATATCTGTGCCTGAATCTAAGATGCAGGTTTGGGGGTGTGGCATTGGGGAGGGCTTTCCAACGTCCCTCTCTCTGGGGTGGGGGGAATCCTTCTTTGAACAGCTGCTGTACCTCCTTTCTGGCCCAGTTCTAAATGTAAGTTCAAATCTCCTCCGTGCCCTTGGGCAAGGGACCTCCCTTTCCCACCCTGAGCCTTTGTTTTCCCCTCTGAAAAAAGGTGTTTATAAACACAAGCTACCTCATAGGGTTGTTGAGGATTGGGTGAACCAATACACATACTGTGCTTAGCACCTGGTAAACATTCCCTTCCTCCAACACACAGCTGAACTGTTTTGGTATCTGATCTTGGAGGTTTGTTTGCTCACCTGTGAAATGGGTCTAAGAATAGCACCGAACCTGCAGGGTTGTGGTGCAGATTAAAGGAGACGGCATGTATAACATATCCAGCTGGTGCCTGGTAAATATCAGCTCTATCAGTCCCTCAACCTCTTTTAGTTCTTGCCTTTGACTATCCCACCTCCCCAGACTGCTAACAAGTTAACAAGTTAGGAGGGAGCCAGAGTGAGGCTGGAGAATTTAATTCCTAATGGATGACCTCCAGGATTGAGACATCTGCCAGAGCTCCCCCACCATGCCAGATGGGGCCCTGGGCGGGGCTTTGCTGAGTGTCACAGTTGAGGTGCCAAGACTGAGTTTTAGGGGACCCCAGGTGGCCTCCCCTGGCCAGGACAGTGACAGGTGCAGATACAGCCGGAGCAGCAGCAGGAGAAAGGTAGGTGGGCTTGGGGAACACTGAGGCAGAGTGAGGGCCACCTGGGCCCATCTGCACACCTGGCCCTCAGGGCTCTAGGCCCCCTTCCTCCAACCCTTGCTGGCCCTGGGGGCCGAGAGACAGGCTGTTAGGGGCCAGGGCCTCCCGATTTGGTCCCCAGGAGCTGCCACCCCCAGGGTCTACAGTCTCCAGGCGCAAGGCAGGCAGCAGGCCCAGGCTCCGAGGCACAGCTGGTGGGAAGGCCCAGGGCTCAGGCAGCCCAGAGGGCCCCTCCTCACTGCTACCTCGGCTGCTGCCACTATTGCCTCTGTCAGGAGCCACCCGAGGCAGGCGGCGGCTCTGGGGTGAGGGGCTACGGCTGGCACCACGGCGTTCATGGGACGAGGGCCGTAGGGCAAGACTAGGGAATCGGGCTAGTCCTGGGCTGCGGCTCCGGTGTCGCCTGGACTTGCCAGGACTGGGGCTGCGGGACTTGGGCGCGAGCAGCTCCAGAGTGCTGTCATCCTCACCCTCCGAGCTGGTGCCTGAGCTGTCTGTGCTGCTGCTGGATGACTCCGAGGTAGGCAGCGAAATCTGGGGACAATGTGGTCACTGGGGCACCCTGCTCCCCAACTTAGCCACTGAGGCCTCTTGGGACCACTCCACCCCTTCCCACTGGCAGACCAGAAGACCTAGGGAGTTCAGGCTATTAGTCTAAGGTCAAGGAGCAGAATGCAGGGGCTGTGGCATTTGAACAGGGTCTTTTGGCAACCTCTTCCCTGACCCTGCAGTCTGGCCTACTTACCTGGAAGGGTTCAGTGACACCGATGAGGATGCTGTGGTTGTGGCTGTAATAGCCCAGGATGAAGTCTCCATGGCCCTTGGGCAGTGATTCCTCACTGAATGTCACCTGGTGGGCCCAGGGGTATAGGCCCAAGCTGGAGTCAGGAAGGCCACCTGTGGGCCCCCTAAGCCAAGTCCTGAGGTCCCAAGGGCAACAGGGACTTCCCCTGACTCTCTTTTAAGTACCTGGTAGGTATTCCCATCCACATCTTCATGTTTGGCCCAGACATAAGCCACGTAGTCCTTGCAGTGGCGGAATCCCACCTGGGGCAAGAGGAATCAGTGCTGTGGACCCCTAATGCCTAATCCCAGCATCTTCCAGTCAGGCATTAAAACCTGGGCAAGGAAGTGACTCTGCCATGGTGTCCTCCAGGCCTTTTTCTTCCCTGAGTCACTGACCACCCTGCCTCTTACCCGGTACAAGCCGATCCAGTCCCAGGAACTGCGGGCGAACACTGTTTCCATGCGGTACCTCACCACAGCCTGTTCTGGCCGTACCCACTCATCTGCCACCTCCAGCCGCACCAGTGGCATGTCGTCCCTGAAGGCAAACTGCCCAGGCAAGGCAGGGGCAGGGGGCAACATCAGGGGAGACCCTCTAGTATCCTACACATCTAAGGCTCTTGGGCCTGAGTCAGCACAAATAGGCTGAGACAACGGGCCTTTGAGGCCACTTCACAGACTGGGAAACTGAGGCAGAACAGGCCTAGGAAAAACACCAATCTGCCTGCCTCCCAGCCCCGGGCTCCTGCCTACAGCCTCCTTAGGAAAAGTGAGAACACAACTTGGAGCTAGCAGACACTGGATTTAGTCCTGGTTCTGCCACTCACAGGTTATTCAACCCTGGGTGAGTTCCTCGGCCTCTCTAAATGCCAGGGCTCTTGTCTGTAAACTTGGAGGGATTGTTCCGCAGAGTCAATGAAGATACTATTTGTAAAGCAGCCCATAAACTTCCCAGAATATCAGTAAGTGTTCAGTAAATGATTTGTTATATGCTGGCATGAAACAGTGATAAAGTCCTATGGTGCACTGGATATTTTTGAGGCACCCTGAATAAGCTAAACACCCCTTACCAGGCAAGAAGAGTCCTAGGTGGGAGGCTGGAGACCTCAGTTCATTTCCAGGTTCTGTTACTAACTAGCTGTGTGACCTCAGGCAAGGTTCTGGCTATGATAGGACTCAGTTTCCCCACCTAAGTCTAAGCACTAAGGGGCCACTAACTACTGCTTTGTTATCAGTCCATGAAGACAAATTATAACCATGAGTATCCTTGCCCCAAGGTCAACCCAGATGGAGCAGGGGGTCACTTGAATGGGTGGAGCTGCTGAGGTGGCAGGTAGCCAGAGTACTGGCTCCACCTCTGTCCCTCAGGGAAGGGCTCAGGTGGTGCCAGCCTCAGACCTTTGTCTGTTTCCCTGTTTATCTGGTTTCAGGTTTCCCTCCCTCAGCTTCTGAGCCAGGTTGTTCCAGAAGAAACTAGTACATTCTTTCCCTGTTCCTGTGTTCCTAATAGGCGTGTCTAGCAAGAGTAGTTCCTGCTGAGCCCTATTCTGACAGCATTGCTTTGGGTAAGAGACTTAAGTTCTCTGAGACTCCAGTTTCCCTCACCAGTAAAACAGGGAGGAGAATTTGAACATCTCAGGGCCTATTGACGCATTAAAAGGGATAACATATGTAAAGTGCCCTACATAAGGCCTAGCGTGTAGTAGGTACTCAACAGGTAATGTTTTTGAGAGACAGTGTCCTGGACAAGGAGGGAAGGACATAGTGGGGTAACAAAAAGTGTGGTTTTCAAGGTGAGGTTCCTCATTGAGGATTAAACCTCACACCCGAGCCCTTTGCCAGAGGTCACACACGGGAGGCCAAGTATGGGCAGATTTCCATTCCTAGCTGAAGACAACTGGCCAATGTCCCGCTGACTGCCCACATGACAAAGTTAGCAGGAAAAACATTCTTTGGCCTACGGGGTTACCTCATCTCAGAGCAGGAGACTCAGAGAGCTCAGAATTGGGTTTCAGGGCTGGAGAGATGGGATCTACCTCACTCTGCCGCCACTGACACTGTGTGACTTGGGGCACATGCCTACTCCCTGAGGAGCCTTGGATGCCCCACAGAAAAAAATGGAGTTGTACTACATGGTTTACCAGGTCTGGTTCTAGGATTTCCCTTCCTCTCTTTCTTTTTTTTTCTTTCTCTTTCCTCCCCCCCGCTTTATCCCCCCTCTCTCTTTTCTTTTTCTGGATTTCCCCTTTTCACTTTGGCAACCAGGGACCTCAATCTTTAATACAAGACTAAATTATAGTAACTATTTAGAGTTTAACTTTGTATTTTTATATCTCTACTCTCCCTCCCCATCACTACTCACTCTCATAATGCTTGGCATATGGTAAGACAGTAAGTACTCAGTAAATAATGAGTGAATGAATATGAATGAATGTTACATGGGGTTTGATTTTGCTGGTCTTATTATATATGCAAATTTGAACATAAGTTGCTTTAAATCTTGGAAGAAGGGAGTCAGAGATTAGTAGAAAAGGCATGGGCTCTGAACTCAGATTGGTTTGTTTACAAATTCTAACTTTTCCCCTTACTAGCTGTGGGAACCCAGGCAAAGGATGCTGTCTGTGTCTCTGAGCCACAGCTTCATCTGAAAATGAAGATCACAATCCTACCCCAACCCTGTTAAGATAAATGAATGCTGCTGAGGGCAGGGACAGGGGTTATTGGTGGGCAGTGTGATGCTGAGATGGGCCCGGGGATATCATGCAGGGAGGAAGATGCCAGAATTCACCTGCAGGATGAATTGGGCAGCCACAGGCTTGTGGTCACTGACTGTATATTCCATGTGGCTGCGGTAGCTGTGCTGGGTCACCTGGAGCCGGTGGCTCTCTCGTCCAGAGGGGCTGGGGCCTCCAGCTGGAGCCTTGACCTTCCACAGGATACGGTCTGTCCAGGCCGGCTTCCGCTTCTTGGCACTGCAGTGGGCAGGGTACCCCAAGTTTCATGGACTGGAGATCAAGGCACAGTCCCCAACCTTGCCTCCTCCCCTTCTTCCCACAGTCTACCTTTTCCAGAAGACCTTAGCCCATGTCCCCACCCCTTCCTATTGCTGAGCTCACCTGGTATCATATTTGTTGGTACCCACATCAAACTTGAAGGTGGGAGCGAAGTTGAGGGGACCTTCCTGAAAGC